TGTATACAGTGAATTTTTTTTTTCTTCCTGAGACAGGGTTTCTCTGTATTGATTTAGAGGTTGTCCTGGTAAACTCACTCTGTAGGTCAGGCTGCCTCTGCTCCCTAGTGCTGGGATTAAAGGCATGAACCACCACGCCTGGCCAGTGAAGTCATTTCTGACTAGCTTTTAGAACTGGTCCCATAAAGAGGCCACAGTAACCATCAGAGGGCATGTAGGCCCTCTATAGGTGTGGTATCCTTGGGAGTGAAGTACTTAAACTACTTGTGTTAACCAGCAGTGATGTTTCCTCATCTAAACATGTCTATCTGGTCATCTGACAATTGACCTGATTTCTTGTTGCCTTCGTGGTATTTGGTCAAAACCATTAGCAGGCATAGTGAGCCCTGAAAAAAACAAGTCTCCATTAGGATGGGACAGACGACTTAGTAGACTTCCTATGGGAGGCCTTACCCCTCTCCGTGCAGAGTATGGGAGGGTCAACTGGGATTGGAATGTAAGAAATAAAATAGAGGAAAAATAGGTCTTGATTGTAACTTAGGCTTTTTCATGCCCTGCAAAGTGGGACCTTAAAGGTTTGAACTTAGAAATTGGTTTATGCCTGCAAATGCCTCTATCTTTCGGGTTTTTTGGTTTTGGCTTTTTCAAGACAGGGTTTCTCTGTAACCCTGAAGGCTGTTCTGGACCTCGTTCTAGGCTGGCCTCGACCTCAGATCCGCCTGCCTCTGACTCACCAGTGCTGGGATTAAAGGCGTGCACCACCAACGCCTGGCTGTCTCTAGCTTTTGTAAAGCCATTTGGTACAAGTACGACAGTGGGTGGCGGTGATAGTGGATGCTATTTCATTCCAGCACTCCCGAGGCAGCAGCAGGCTGATCTGGAGGCCAACCTAGTCTGCAAAGGTACACAGAGAAAGCCTGTCTCTCTGGTGCCTGCAGAGGTCAGAAAAGGGTGTCAGATCCCCTGGACTGGAGTTACAGATAAGGTTGTGGGCCATCCCATAGGTTCTGGTATCTGAACCCAGGTCCTCTGAAGGAGTAATAGTGCTTTATCCCTTGAGCTATCTTACTTATCCATAACCCACCCCCCTCCCAAAACAAAAATTGTTCTGAGACAAGAGTCTCACTGTATGTCCCTGGCTGGCCTAGAAGTCACAGAGATCTGCTTGCCTCTGCACACCTCTGGGATTAAAGGTGTGCCCCAAGGTGACTGACCCTCCTTTATCTTTTCTTAACCTAATTGTTTCCCCTTCTGCAGCTACCCTTAGAGCTGCTCTAAGGACTGAACTTTTCTCACTGATGCATGCATAAGTAAAGTAGCAGCTAATTTCCGAGTTTAAATAACAAGAATGATCCTGAAGCTCTGTTTCCCACACACTGTTCTGTATTTCAGGGAGTTTAATGAAGAAAAGAAAGGAGTCGGTAAAGAACCGTTCATCTATGAGGTATGTGCAGTTTATTTGGTTTTAAACTGCAGGGAGGGAGAGAGAGGAGAAGGGAGAGGGAGAGACTGACTGAGACTGGTCTGGAACCTTCTCTGTAGCCCAGGTTGGTCTCAAGCTTGGGATCATTTTGCCTCCTCCAGTGCTGGGATTACAGGAATGCAATTGCACAACTAGCTACACCTGACTGTATATAGTTTTCTATGTTTTTGTCTGTTTATCTATGTCTTTTGCTTGTTTAAATTTTATATCTATTGGTGTATGTAATTTTGTTATCTATTGCAAGTATGTCTGTGCAATGCGTTTATGCCTAGTGTCTGGAGAGGGCAGTAGGAAGTGCTTGGATTACCTGGAACCGGAGTTACAGGTGGTTGTGAGCTACCATATTTGGGCTGGGAATAGAACCCAGGCTCTCTGGAAGTGCTCTTAACTCCACTGATTCATCACCCTGGCCCCTATACCTGGCTTTTTAGTGGTGTGCCTGCATTTCCTCACCGAGTTGCTTGGTTGTAGGGTGTGGGAGCCTGCAGCTTCGCTAAACACTTAGAAAGCCCCTCATTTAATAATTAAAAAAAAAGGTAAGCAGAGGCAGGTTCATCTCTAAATGCTTTTCAGAGCGAGTTCCAGGACAGCCAGGTTTACACATAGGTATCGAATTGTAAGTTCCTGTTCGTCCTATGTTAAATCCTAAAGGACAAGTTCTTGTTGGTCCTGTGTTCAATCCTTGCAAAATAAGGATTCTATATGTAATTAAGCTCCTCTTTGGTCTATTGAGAGTCCTAGTTAAGGATAAATTCCTGTTTCTCCAGTCTTAAATGTCCGTGTTAATTACGAAAAGTAGAAACCTTATTTAAGAGTTCTTTTTGTCTAGATTTGAAGTAAAAGGCTTGCAACGCCATTCACTCAACATGTATCCTTGCCTTTTGTTCCTTCCCTTTTCATTGTATCCTAAGCAGTGTATAGCCACCATGCCTTCTCACCCCGTGAATACTCTTTCTCCTAGGAGACTTGAGGCCAGCAGGGGTGCCCTCAAATCCCAATTTATGTTGAGGCAGCCAGCTGGGCAGTCCTGGTGCACCCCACAATACAGCTTGCTTTACTGGGTAACTGTGGACTTGGTCTTTGATCCTCACAAGACTCAGGCTTGTTAGTCTCAACCAGAAAGTTCAGATTCAGTTTTAAAGAGCAGTACTTTAGAGGGTAATGGGGGAAAGTATGGCCCCGTTTCATAAACTACTCTGAACTACTAGGATTATAGGTATCCTTCCCATATAGTTATACTATGGCAAACGTAAATCACAAAAATGATTGAAGCCTGTTTTGTTTCCCAAAAAGGTTCCAGATGCACATGGAGTATTAAAAAAACCTGACATTTACAATGAGGAAAACAGAACCACAGCACTTTGGTTGCCAGGCTGATAAGAAACTATCTGTCAGTTTATTTAAGGAGCTAGAAGCTTTTAGTGGCAAGGGCTGAAGGACTGCAGAGTCCCGAGACTCTATCCACAGTGAGCTTTATCACCTGTGTCCTGATCAGAGCCAAGTCACCCCCTTACAAAGGAACTCTGCACTAATGGGAGGTGAGCCACATTGATGGTCCTTTATCTTTCACAGCTGATGAGCAGCCATTTTAGTGACTGAACTTCGGATCATTTTGCTTGCTTAATGGGATTGTGTGTAAAGGCTCTGTTTAAGGTCTCAGGCTCATCCCTCATTTAACCATCAATGACCGGAACAGCAGTAATAACAAAATAAATGATTAGTTGAGCCCTGTGGTGTCTGCTGGGCAGAGGCTAAGCAAGTTTCCCATCCTGAGGATAGCAGGGAATTTAAAACGTCCCCTGAACCTTAAAGGTGGTGTGGCTTGTTTACTTTTATAGTCAAACAGGAAGAAAACAAACATCCTACCTCACTGGAATTTCCCGTTGTGCACAAATCCTCTCCCGCTAGCCACATACGGGAACTTTGGGGGAGCCGAGGTTGTGTTTAGTTTGCTTCGTTTTTTTTTCTTGAGAATGTAACTCACAGGTCTCTCCCTTCCCTTTCCTTCCACCAAACCCTGCCATGTACCCTTCCCCAGCTCTTCAAATTCCTGGCCTGGAGCTTTTTTGAGCCTTTAAGTCTGCCTCCACGCCCCACTCCCCCCCACCCCCGCAAGGTGAGGAAAGAAATAGAAAGCTTGGCTTTCTTTTTTCCGAAGAAGACGATTCAGACTTCTCGCTATGCAATTCCCAGGAACCTTTTCTGAAAGACCAGGAGGAAGTTAAGAAACGAGGGAGAATTATAGGCTGTAGAAATCTTCAGAGAGTGAAGGAAGTAGTTTGTCTCTCTCTGGGTGCAGGGAGGTGAAGGCAAAAGGAGGCTGTCAGTGCAGCAGTTGGAAAGAAGAGCAGAGGCACAGCATGAGAAGAGAAGAATTTTTTGCCTAGCAAGAACGAAGGTGTAGAAATCTGGCTCCCTTCAGCCTTTTTTGAGCTTTTTTGAAGCTGCAGAGCTCACAGATGCCCCCATGGTAGAGGAGTCATGAGGCACAGCTAAGAAGATGAGCAGGTCTGCTGGGGAGCTCCAGTTTTCTTATAGAACCTCTTACTCCTCCCCCAATTAGCATAAACATTGCTCATTGGTTGAGTTCTTTCTGCCCGTCCCACTGCTGGGGCAGCTGGGGCCTTGCATTTACTCAAAACCTCCTGCACCTGCCTGCAACACAAAGCTGAAGGTGAACAAGGATCAAGGCCTAGCAACTAGGCAGCT